GAATGGAGATGAGGGCATTGTCCCTACCATATAAAAAAAAGTCTGTGTCCCCCCTCCAATTTAAATTTTCTTTCTGTCCTCAAATTTCTGGCATTGCCAAGAATGACACAGACATCAAAAATTGTTCAGACCTAGAATTCTTCTTTTGCTGTATTCTCACTCCCTTGGTCACCTTGATTGCTCTATTCTTTGGATTCCTAAACATAATTTCTAAATGCTCAATTGAAATGTTAAGTTACTGCAAAGCAAGAAGAGATAATTTTTGCCCCTCCCCAGTAGCTATACCCCCATGTATAAGCGGAAAGTACAGATTGAGTCTCCCTTATCCAGAAATCCAAAATATTCTAAAATCATCCACATGGGTGGCTGAGATTATGACACCTTTGTTTTCTTTTCTTTCTTTTTTTTTAAAAAATGTGCATTACATTTTAAAAAGACAAACAATAATACATCAATTATAACACCCAACAAGCAACCCCATCATATGAACATAACACTTCCATCCTAGAAAACCATTGTACTAACATCTAATTACATACAATTGTACTATCTTATCCGAATTAATCGCAAGAATAATAGCAATAACAATAAACCCTCCCTCCTCCCTCCCCCTTTTATTTTTGACACCTTTGTTTTCTGATGGTCTAGTTTATGCAAACTTTGTTTCATGCACAAAATTAGTTAAAAAATAGTGCATCTAAAATTACCTTTGGACTATATGTATAAGGAGTAGAGGAAACATAAATAAATTTCATGTTCAGACATGGGTCTCATCTCCAATCTCTCTCTCTCTCTCTCTCTGTTTCTGTGCAAATATTCTAAAGTTTGAAAACCTCTGAAATCCAAAACACTTCTGATCCCAAGCATTTTGGGTAAGGGAGACTCTTGTTGATTATTATTATTATTATATATGTATATAGACTTTGCTTACTGAGGGCAAAGGAACTTCTTTGCATGCAAAAGTACTTAAAATCACAGTCAATTTGCAGCAACTCTAGGCATGTTGTACCAGGATGGCAACCTCGCTGAGCACAGTGTGGCTTACCACTGAGTAAACAAAAGCAGGGTTATGCAGTTCATGATCCTGATTTCTCTCTATGGCCAATAAGGAAATAATTAAATAAATGGGGGGAAAAGTTAAATTCCATGTACCTGGATACCCATGAGAGTCTGCTGGAGCAGAGGCACTGAGATCTTGTGGACCACAAGTTGAACATGAGTCAACAGTGTGATGCAGCAGCTAA